AGCATTTGTTGATAATCCGTGAAATATACCTCTGTACGGTTGCAAATTACTTTTATTTTCACCCATGCTGTAAACAAATGCGTGAAATATGGAGTTTCAATCCGCATTTCCCTAGCTGTGGCGGTGTGAAATTTTTAAACTAGTTATATACCACACCACACACGGCATTATAACAGTTACTAATTTATTTAGCTGGCTTTTCCCTAACACGCATGAGGCGTATCAAAGTAAAAGCCTACCTTTTATTTGATACGTACATTTTTTGGGCCCTAAACGTAAACATCACCAAATATCACTTACCTCCGAAACCTGCAAGAAGATTTAATTCCTTTAAAACATAGCGCAGGGACTACAACTACCGTTTATCAGTGTTACCTCTCGCTATATCTTCCATTTCAGAATACATCATCATCTATTCACGCAGCGACGGTTGCTGTCATGGCAACGATGATTTCGTATTTCCTGACTACCTCATTCGACCACCGGTCGCCCATTTAAACACATATATGCTTTCACGTTTAATATCACATTATGACATTATTGCTCATCTATTCTTAATTTCCTTTCCATGTTCAGACGTCGACGTGTGCTCATACCACTCCTCTTATTTCCCAGTGTCGGATGTACCCGGGGACTGTTATTTATTACTCCTTGCGTCGACCGTTTCATTGGAGTTTCATTGGAGTGGTAGAGAGCAGATAGGACACCCTGTGTCAGCTCCATCACATCCCGTTCAGAGCAAGGATTGGGCGACATGCTGCGAGGCGGTATTCCGCAAAGGACCATTACGGTCGCATCGAAAACAGCAGGATCCTTGCATACTCAGCAGATAGGGGTCTAACAGTTTCTTAAAACTTTCCTCACATTGTGCACTAACGACCAGTTCAAGCAAGCTGTTCCAGTCCTTTACCACTCGAGTTGAGAGGGTGAAATTAGAATGAACCGGACCCTCCTCGGCTTAAACAGTTTCCAAGAGTGACCCCGTATCCAGCTATCAGCGCAGAGCTGGAAGAACTCTTGCAGTTCGCTCCCCATCTGTCCTCGCAATATCCGTCTGGTGTAAATCAGATCATCCCGACGTCGACGGTAGTCCAAGGAAAACATGTTCATCTGTCGAAGACGCTGAGTGTAAGGCAGGTCACGGAGCGCTGAGATGGATTTCGAGCCTCGTCGCTGTACTCTTTCGATCATAACGCGTTCAGTCTTTGTAAAAGGGTAGGCCGCAGGCAAACCATACTCGAGGATAGGGCGCACATGGGAAGAAAAAGAAGTCTGAAGACCTCTGGAGTCATTCGGGAAAACGATCTCCTAATGGCACAGAACATCCCATTCGCAGCCGCTATCTTCCTCAGGGTGTCCTCGGTGGTAAGCAGATCGGGAGATACGAGTATACCAAGGTCTTTCTCATAGGCAGCATTCCTGATCAAGAAACCACCAATGTGATAGGCGCCAAATGGTTCAGAAAAGCCGATCGGCAGGACAGAGCACTTCTCACGATTACTGGGTAAACGCCATTCCGAAGACCAGCTATGAAGCAGGTCTAGCTTCTCTTGCAGTCGGTCAGCGGCTTCAGGTGTTGGTACCTCCATCCATATCTTCAGGTCATCGGCATAAAGCAGACAACCGGTCTGGAGTACAGATGGAAGGTCATTAGTGTAGACTTTAAACAGCTCAGGGCCAAGGACAGAGCCTTGTGGAACCCCACTGGTCATGGGAACGGAAGCGGAGTAGACCCTATTCACCTTCACTCGCATGCTACGGCCATCCAGAAAATCAGTGATCCATGAGAGAATCTCTCCAGAAACACCAATACTCCGAAGTTTAAACAGAAGCCGTTCGTGTGGTACTGTAACAAATGCCTTCTTAAAGTCGACGAAGACAACGTCTAAGCGATTTCCGGCATCTAATGACCTGGCCCATCTCTCTCTGGCAACGAGCAGGTTGGAAACACATGAGCGAGCTCGCCTGAAGCCATGCTGCGCAGAATAGATGACATTCACGCCGTCAAGGTGACTCTGAATGGCTCGTTTGATAATTCGTTCCATGACTAACAAACTATAGATGTTAAGCAAATTGGTCGATAGTTTCCGAGGTCCTGACGATTTCCACCTTTATATATGGGCTTGACGGTGCCCATTTTCTAGGCAAGCGGGAGTCGCCCCGCATCAAGAGACCGATGAAAAATTTGGCAAACAGGTACAGCGATGTACTCAGCTAGGGTTCTGAGAAACAAAGGGTGTAGCCCATCAGGACCTGGTGATGAGTTCGGAATTAGCTCGAAAAGAAGCTTGGCAACCAATTCGGGGCTGATTTTTAAGATTTCTAAAGTACATGAAGGCGTACACGCTAAATCACAGGTAACCGGTGGCGCAGTCGAGAAGACTGAGGAATACTGCAGGGCCAAGAGTCCGGCTTTTGCATCATCATCATGAAGAGTAGTATCATTTTATTTGGAATACAACGCAGGTATTCCATTTTCGGCTTTCGTACGTCTCCACAGATAGGAGAACAGTAATTTGGGAGCGGTGAAATATTCCTCAGCCAAGCGGAACTCGTACTCTTGTCGCTTTTCTCGCTTTTTGAATGTGCAGCTATTCCTGACCGCTTTGTAATCAAGGTAGTCCAGAGGCGATCGTGTAGTCTTGAACTTATCCCACAATTTGCGTCGACTGCGCAAAAAGGGATTTTAACTCTCGATCAATCCAGGGAGGGCCATTGGAAAAGCGTTTCCATTTGCAGAGTGGAACGACCTGAGTTATGAGGGACGTGAACTTGGAGTACAAGAGGGTCCAAGCGTCATCAACATCTAAGTGCTGAGGGATACCCCAGTCCATAGCGCCGGCAGAAGTTTTCAAACGGAGTGGATCAGCACGCCAGAAGTTCCGACGGCATACTCCCTGATCGTGAATGGTAAGACGCCGCATCCAACAAAGGGAAACTACGCAGTGGTCACTTCTCCCAAATGGTTGGAGGATAGTCAAGTCGGAAACATCCGACTGCGTCGGTGTGAGCACGAGGTCGAGGATGTGTGGCGATTGACCCGGACACATTCTGGTGGGCATTGTAACATGTTGAAACAGATGGCATGCAAGCACGGTTTCGAGGAAGACAGCATCAAAGGAGTTCGGGGGAAGATTGCAATGGAGTAAATCCCAGTCAATACTAGCAGTATTAAAGTCTCCCAATATCAGACAATCCTTACCTCTACCGTGCATACTAATAGAGTCCAGCAAGCTAGCTCCGGAAGCCAAGGGGGTTCTGTAAACGACTCCAACTATAAGAGACTTGCATCCATCATGTATCCGACACCAAAGAAGCTCACACCCATTTTCATTGTCGCGTAAGGCCTCAACCAGATGACCCCTGAGGTCCTCTTTCCAGTAAGGAATCACACCACCTCCGGACCTATTTCGAGAGCGATCCGCTCGAGCTAGATTATACCCCGGAATATGCACCTCTGAGTCGAGGATGTTAGAAAATAACCAAGACCCTGTGAAAGCCATAAGATCTGGGTGATTTTCATAGGCAAAGTTCTGCATTTCATCAAGTTTGTTTCGTAGGCTACGTACATTAGCAGATATCACCCTCAAACTATTCTTCGGTCTTACCGCCCGGGAGCGACAAAGATTGGCCTACAGCGAATTCTCGGATCTTTTTGAACTACACGAAAATCCACAATGTGGAGGTTCATCTCACCATTTTCCCGGCGTGTTCGTAGTTCTTCAACAGCTTTCTTCATTCGGATCCGATCCTCCGGACAGAGGTCCCGCAAAACATAAAAGGTTTCTCCCCTAAGACCTGGGGTCCGTCTGAGAATGCGGCGACACTCATCCTCACTCTGACAGACAATCTTGAGGGGACGAACTTTAGAAGAATAGTCGTGCTTTCTTCCGAGACGAAAAGCAGAGACAATATTGATCCCTTGTTCACCTTCATCAAAAAGGAGGGAGACCATTCGCCGCAGAAACTCTTGGTCGTCCAGGATCCTTTCAGCCGGGGAAGCCTTGTTGGATTCAGGAGCATTCACGATGATCAAACAACGGTCAAGAGGATGCGGTTTATTGTATTCAGTGGGTTGGGACATGGGAGGCATGCTGTCCTTGAGAACGTTTTCCAACTGGCTTACTCTATCGAGGACCAGGTTTAGTTCGGAAGATTTCTTGGGTTTAGTCGTAGAATCACTCTTGGTTTTCTTCGCTCGCAGAGTTGCGCATGTACTAGCCGATGCTTGTTCTACATTCTCACTTACGACTGCCGCATATGTCTTTCTCTTGGACTCATGGCTGCCATCACTGAGTGTCAGAGGCTCCGATAGCGAAGACGAGGGGACGCGACGTCGTTTACCAGTGGAACTGGCTGAGTCAGAGGCCGAACTAGGCGACGAAGATACCGGCGGTTTAGCAGAGGTGCAATTCGCAGTTTGAGTAGGAATGGATCGTGGGCTAAGTGCGTGGACTAATTTCAACACCCGTCTATCGCTCAATACAGTTCGACAAGAGTCACAATGGAAACTGATAGCTGAGGAGGTGGTCCTCTGATGGTAACCATAAAGATCTGGACTGATGTCGCAGCAGGCAATGTGTAGCTACCCATCACAGAGAGAGCGTTGCACAGCCTTCGATCTTGCGGTAACGCCTTTACCACAATCCAAGCATTTGGACGCCATCGTGCCTTGTGCTTGACAAATTCCAAATATTTAGCAGTCGAATCTCCAGGTAACTAAAGTTCGAACACCCTCCTTTGCCAAAAGATCCAAAGAGAAACCGAGCACCCAAACGCACGTCGTTATCCGCAGCAGAGTTTCGCAGCTCGTTACCCCAATTTAACCTGAAATGTTTGACCAGCGCGCCCTTCTAACTAATAATACGGTATTTATACAAATGAGAAGTAAGCAAGTTAAATACCACGTTAAGCACATTTATGTATGTTCCACAAGCTTATCTTTAGTAGTCTCTTATAAGACGCAAACCAGTGGCGTTTAAATGTTCCAGTGAGCTTTCATTTGCATAGTGGAAAACTGAAATCGGCAATGGCAGCCGTATGATTGGAATATACTGTGGTCTCCCTCGCTCCTGGTATGAAATTTATTTCCTTCCAGCACCTTAAAAGATGCATTATTAACTTCATTTTTATGCTGCACCACTGCTCGTTAGGCGAAAGCATCTGTCGTCCGTCTGACCTGACCTGACCAATGTTTTCCGAAGGTGGTTGCCGGCACAGTTGACCAACCTTCTCATTTAACGTGTTTGTTGTTGTTCTCACTGGAAAAGATAAGAAGGAAATGGCAAGCTATTTCAGGCGGACATTAATTATCGTGCTGCATCTTTTGCAATTGGCTACTTTTTATTAAGGCACCCTCATTCTGCGCGAGGGACCGATATGCTCTCACTGTGTGAACGTTTTTCTGCATCTGATCATCCAATTGAGACACATTCAAAACGAATTTAGCCAATTTAAAGTCTTCTGTGTACTCTTACGTCTTCAATGCTGCATTATGACAACTTGGGAGTCGGCTTTTGCTTAGTGCGGATGATATTTCTGCCCAGGGCATTTGTTATGCTGCTCCAGAAAATTTATTTGACTGACGGTTATTCGTCCCATGTGTTCAACTGAGACGTCTGTGGTCAAAAAATACGATCACTTAGTACCCTCAAACATTCACTCCCTTTTGCATAAATCGGTTCATAGAGTTCAGAGTCGAGAGCCGAAGGGAAAATCCGTCACAGCTCCATCACCTCCCATTCATTGGCTGGACGACACGTGTCGCTACACTGTGTTACACCAGGGGTTGTTTCAGCTGCAGGAAAAACAGTGGAATCCAGGCGTGCTCAGCATGTTTATCCAATGGTTGAAACATTCTAGCTGGGCACTTAACACGCATTCAGGAAGGTTGCTCCATTCATTCACAACCTGGGTGTTATACAGGTCGTTTTATCGACAGAATTGTCTGATATTCCTCCGATAGGCAACCAATAGCCGTCGGATGACTCACTGATAAGCGAACAGTCATACGCCTTAGAGGATATGATTTTTTGGTGGAAACCTGACGGTCAGTTTGGAGCCTCGTGGTATGATCAGGTTGAGCACTAGCCGGACGGACCCGTGCTATCCTCCTTTATCCTCATTTCTGATATCCTATATTGCCGCAGGCTGTTTCATTTGCAAAATTCAGGACCAGTAGTGAGTGCTGGTTAAGCATTCCTTTCGAGCAGACTCATTAGATCCAGACGGTTACACAAAAAGAATTCCTAGCCAAGCACTCATTTTTGGTTTTGTTTTTGGTAAAGAAACAAGATTGCTTTGTTGAAGCCAATTATTGCCTGCGTTTCACTCATGCCGGCCATTTTTTTCATATGCCGCATCAACAACACCCGGACATACAGTCGTTTGTACGCCGAATGTCGCAGTTCCAATTATTTCAAGATGTCTTTTGGAATCCACCATTACATTTAGTGATGCATTCTGCTGCATTATAGGCAGCGGGTTTGGTCATTTGTTCACTTTCCCCAACTGGTTGCATTCCGTCCTACATTTTGCTGGCGGGTATTAAACTGATGATGCTAGCGTAGCATTTGCGCAAAACAATACCGCCTGCCTACGACGCAGCACACCACTGGAGTCTGGGTGGATCGATAGTCTTCATTCGTAGTCTTCATTTCTACGTGGCGCATATCGCTGGCGGCTTTAGTCGTTTGAAGGGTAGGAGCAGCGCAAGTCCACTAAAGTAGACCATGACAGTAACTTAATTGCACGTGGTTTGACAAAACATGTATATTACCGTTGTGGAGGAAAGATGAGATAACAGCTTATGGTAGCAGATCCTAAGATATTATGGTGATATTATGTTTATGGAACAAATGCTGACCGTCCGATTTCTGTCCAACACTCGGACAGTTTGATGTGCGATGGTGCTGATGGGGTCGATGCCGTACGTACTGGTTGGTTGTTTTGAATAAACCACTATGAAACGGTTATTGATGAATTCTCCCACACATTTTCTTTCCTTTTTACGCTTTCAACGTTTTTACCAACATCTGAACGACCTTTTATCATCACTTCTGTCGAACACTTGCTGGTTTTTTGGATAATGTACCGCAAGTTCAGCTTCAGGTGGGACTGTAACGATAGGACAATCCCGTGCGTGTTCCTTTTTTGAGCGCATCGTTGAACAGAAAATGATACGATACTCTGTTTTGACGTGTCTCATAAGAAACATCAGCAACACATCTTGGTCAACCAATTACTGCCCACTTTTCCCGCGCTATCAGTATGCTCAGAAGAAGGAAAATGTTTCTTCTTGCCACCCAACAGCGATAAACTTGCACTAAAAACCCCTAACTAAAGTTTCAGTGACTACATTTTCTGGAAAAACTCCGCGTCTCTTAAGCACCATCTTACCGCTGATTGGCGCCTCTTCTGCGATTCAATCATGGTCTCCGAGATTGATCACATCGCTATCAGTTTCGGAAGTCCGGGGAGTGTAAAGGATTGCAGATCAATCTGTTCCACATTTTTTGACTCAGATCATGCTCCTTTTCGTGCAAACCTTGCATGAGTTTCTGAGGGCCCTCGAAAATGAAGCACTATAAAGTGGACACCAATAAATTGTCTGTTCCCTCGGTTTACTGGAGCTATTAAGTTTCCTTGGCCCGTGCGCTCGGCTGCGACCCACCGCAAAACATCAATGAACATAGGACCTTCGTGCAGAAGACCATGATCTCTTCCGGACAGTCAGTTTACGATCTTGTTCAGCACATGATGAGCGCCTTGGTTTTCACGCGCTCCCTGGATCTATCTATCATCATCATCAACAACGATACATCGGCCATTTGAACTGATGCTTCGCTGCCATACAATCATGAAGACCTATGAAATAAAGAATAAGAAGAGTGAGAGAATTGGGACTTACCTGAAAACCTTAATGCCATAAGCAAACATTCTGGGTCAAGGCGCCTACACCTTGTGTAGACAACATACCGTCACAAACAGCTGGCTATCGTGCAAAGATAAGGCGGCATCGGCGAGAGAGCTTCCTTGCGGCTTTCACTGCCACGCGTCATAATCAGCCATTACCCCGCAGATAACTCAGCACCAAACACACTTTAAACAGGCAATCCAATTAGGAGACGGCAACAGACGCGCCACTGGTGTCTACTGCGAGCCATGTCCTGTAAAGTCACAAGCCAAGCACAAGGCGAGTCACGTGGACTCCAGCCCGGAAGGCGAGACGGACCAACGGCACCCAGTTTGGTCGTCAGTGATCTCATTTCCCACTGCCAAGTCAACTTCTGTCCACCTCGAGCCTTGCGCCACCCTACACTTGGCAGACTAAACAAGGCCCTCCTAAGTAAGCGGTGATCAGGCACCCCTAGCACATGCCCAAGCCAACGCAACTTATTCAGTGTTATCTGTTGTTCTAAGGAACTAGCATGATTATCACCACCTAGTACTCGTCTAAGCACATCATCGTTGCGGACACGCTGGTACCATCCGACTCCAGCAATGCTACGCAGACAACGATGATCAAAGATTTGAATGCGCCTCAGATCTTCAGACCGAAGGGGCCAAGTCTCACTACCATAGAGCAGAACGGCTCTCACTGTGGCCTTGTATACACGGCCTTTCAGACGGAGGGAAACTCCCTTCTGTTGCCAAAGATGCCGCAGGTTCAAGAAGGTAGCTCTGGCATTTGCAATGCGTGGGCTGACGTCAGTTTCTATGCGCCCATTATTGTTGATGCAGCTGCCAAGATAAGTGAATTGGTCAACCACCTCGAGTTCCTCGTTAGCAAGGGTCAAGGGGTCATCAAGTGGCTGGTGGTCCTGCAGCAACACTTTGCACTTTGAAGGTGCGAAGTGCATACCGAATAATGGGACCACTCTGGACAGGCTATTCAGGGTTGATTGTGCCGCCCCAACATCGTCGAAAAGCAAGACCATATCGTCCGCATAATCTAGATCAACTAACCTTTCACCAGGCAGCACTTCAAAGCCTACATCGTGAGATTCCACAAGGGAACATTCCATGATAGAATCCACGACGAAATTGAACAAAAATGGGGAAATCGGACAACCCTGACGAACGCCACTTGTGGTCGGAAAGCTATCCGATAGGACACCGTAGACCCTGACGCGGCCTGTAGTGTTCGAGCATAGAGCACGAAGGATGTTCACATATTTCGTGGGAACACCTTTCCGCGCAAGTATTTCGAACAGAATCGGTCGATCGACTGAATCGAACGCACTCTTGAAATCGAGGAACACAGCTGTTGTCGGTCTGCGGTATGCGTGGCGCTGCTCTAGCACCTGCCGCAAAGTGAATATATGGTCTATACAGCAACGCCCTGGGCGGAAATCGGCCTGCTCTTCCCTAATCCGCGATTTCCGTTCCGCAGTGAGGCGACGAACGAGAACCGAGACCACTAATTTTGTTACAACTGGCGTTAGGCTAATACCGCTGTGGTTAGAACAGTCTGTGCGACTGCCCTTCTTGTATATTGCCACTATAATCGATTCGCTCCAATTAGCCGGGACACTTCCTGATACATTCGAATAAGGTCAGTGCTTTGCAGAGGACTTCACCTCTATCCTTAAATAGTGCTGGTGGGAGGGAATCCGGGCCAGCGGCACGAAAACGATTAAGGGCTGTGATGGCGTTTCGGACCTCGGCCTCCGACGGATGCTCTAAGCTAACCGTCAATGGCTCGTCCTGCATCACCTGAGTAGGAAGAAGTCCGGGAGCAGGGGGCCAGCTGAACTGATCTTGAAAGTGTTCCGCCCAACAAGCCATACAGCGCTCCTTATTGTGTATCAGTGCATCCGCGCTGTTTATGATCGTCTCACTGACGCCTGGTTTTCTGGGACCAGTGATGCGGATTAGCTGGAAGAGCTTGCGGTAATTGCCTACTGCTCTTGCCTCCTCCATTTCTTGAGCCCTACTGGTCCACCAGGCTTCCTTGTCAGCACGTAGGCTCCGGTTTAGTTCACGCCTAATAGCCCGTCTGGTCACATTGTGTTCAGAGCCAGCCGGAAGGTGTCTTCTAGATTCCAACAAGTTCACCGACCTCTCGGATATC